CCCTCCCTAACCCTGCTGCAGACCCCTCCCTAACCCTGATGCAGATCCTTCCCTAACCCTGCTGCAGATCCCTCCCTAACCCTGCTGCAGATCCCTCGGCGCACGCACCCGCTCCACGGCCAGATGGCCTTCCTCTGACATCTGCCCGCCATTCCGTCCTATCCAGGACACACGACAATACTGAGAAACAAAGAAACAGCCCAGAAGCACCTACTTAGTGGGACAATAACTCAGTGGAGTTGGGCGCTACTGCCCTCACTATGGAAAAGGAAGTTGAAGACAAAAAAATGTTACCACGGGCCACAAACTGATAAATAAGGTTATCATTTCCCCTCCGGGTCATAGTTTTCTCCCTCGTAGTTCGTCACTGCATCTACCTCTCACGCCTGGATTTCTCTGCCTCTTCTCTCACCCGCTGCCCGCGAGCAGGGATTACCCTCTCGCCAACACATACCCACATTCCCTTCTCAGACCCGCTGTGAGTTCTGAGTACCGCCTCTCCTGCGTCTTCCCTCTCCTTTTCACCAGCTTTCACCACGGTTTGGAAACATACTCGGGTGGCTCTTGCCTTAGAATTAAAGATTTTATTCTTTCCACTTCGTCATTCTCATAGCTCCCCACCTGCTGTCTCCAGTAATCAGGTACTTAGTTCAGTCCTTGACATCTCGTTCCACAACACCCTACAGGGCGACTTTCCAGTCTCCTGAAACTGCTGTCTCAGGGTACTGGGGCCCCTTCCTATAACACTCTGCTAAATGACGCCCCACCACCACCACAGTTCTTGATTTTAGCGAGCGTTTAACCTGAAGAGCAAACTGACAGTTCTCAGACAAACACTGGTAGGGAATCCATTAATTGCCAAGGTCGGCTGGGGATGTAGCTCAGCAGCACAGCGCCTGCCTGGCAAGCGCGAGGGCGTGAGTTCAGTTCCCGGTACTGGAAAAAAAAAAAAAAAAAAGCCAAGGTCACTTGGCAGTTGTGTTCTGGGGGAAGCAGGGACCAAGAAAGTCCCAGATCCTGAGTGGGGCCGGACGAAGAAAGGGAAATCTGCCCAGAAGAAGTGATACAAACACAGCCCCTGCATCTGAGCCTCCTCGGCAGGTGAGTATTTTACACTTTTACCTCTCTCGCCTTTAGGTCTCTGCAATTCTGCATGCTCTGCTGCCATTTCTGCCCTTTCTGTGGTTTCTCTGGATGGGTCCCCTTCTGCCATCTGCCCTTGTCTTATTTTTATTTGTCACTCTGTTATCCTTAAGCACAGATATTCACCACACACAGTTTTATCACTTGCTAACGACTTCTGACTACAGTAGCACCTCCGCACGCTTGCTAATTCTTTGTGGAAAGCATGGCAAGTGCCAAAACGAGTGAATGCGTACAGAACACATTTTTCCCATTAGAAATAATCTGTGAAACCCCCCTAGAACTTCCACAGTTTACTGGGCTAATATCGGCCTTTTATGGGTCTGACGTAAGCCCTGTATACCGGTCACTAGTTCTAAAGCCAACAAGTACCAATGTACAACTGTATTATCTGCAGCGGTGCTGCTTTTATGAATATCAGCTCTGCTTCTAGATCTTTCTTCATGAAGCCCCTATTGTTACTACCTTCCAGCTAAAATAAGGTTACTGTCTTTTTTCCCAAATTGTTACCTTATCTCTCACAGGGAAGTCGCCATTTTCCTAACTCATGGGTTTACAATGTGGGAGACATCACTGTGTCTCCCAGTGCAGTCGAACACGATGCATTTCGTTCTTCGAAGCGTGCCTATGAGCGCCAGCATTCACTGTCATGTCTGACTGTCCAGTACCAGGCTGACCAGTGACTGGCCTTTCTCAAATCCGTTCTCTATACCATGCCTACATTGGCTGTCCTACAGCCTCATTTGATTTACATCTTTCTCCTGCACAAAAAGGTCCTTTCTATTTGCCAAATAAAAAATAAGCCAAGGGGCGGGGGTATAGCTCCATGGCATGGTGCGTGCCTGGCAAGCTCGATGCCCTGAGTTCCATTTCCGGTTCCAAAAAACCCAACAATAAAAAATAAGCCAACCAATCAACAAATATTTTCAAATAAGGCAGGAGCTTCTACCTTAATTTCCAAGAAATAAGGTGAAAGAGAGTTTATGAGAGAACAGTTTAGATGTAAAGTGAAATTCTTTTGTTCTCTGGACAGGGACCAAGCACGCACCCTCCTCAAGTCCAGCCAGTATTGCCGAGATAGTCTCTCCAAGGTATGTATCTTTCCCACCCTCCCCCTAACTTTCTTGGGCATTAGTCATATATAACTATCTTGCCTGGATGTACTCTTAGCCTCTATTACTACTCTTTTCCAGCCATTTCAAAACATAGTTTCTACTTCTTCATTAGAACTTTGACCATTTTTCGTTCACTATTCCATTCTCTCCTCCTTCAACCCAAAGTATCAGATTCGTTAACATTTGCAGGTTAACATAGTTCTGACCAAGCCTTTCCCCTGGTGCTAATCCTTTGCTGGTGCTCTGTTGCCTGCTACAGTTACAGCTCATCTTATTGCTAAGCTTGTCACATGCTGACACCTCTTACCACTCACTCCCCTCACCCAAGTGAGACCCAGACAGACACTGACAGGTAAACCATCACCAAGGCCACCTGTGCTCAGGCAAAATTGAGCAACTGACTATTCCATGATGCCACCAGGCATTCTCTAGCAATGTACCTCCATGAAACCTTTTCCCCTTACTCTAAATTTCTCTTCTACCTCTTCTCCTTCTCACACCCTAGTGTTTACCTGCCCAAGTCTTACTCATTCTGCAAAGGTTTTTCCAGTGCTTTCCTCTGGCAGCCACATGAGGTTAGTTTTTGTCTTCAATGGATGTCATTATGGAGTTGCCTTCTTCCTCAACTAGTTACAGATTCTTTTATTCACAATGAGAATTTGACAACTTGTAAGCACTTTAAGACATAATTTCTTTTGGAAAAGTACACAGTTGTTTGGAAGATTAAGTAAAAAAAAAATGCACAGATAAATATGGAGAACAGCACCTAGTATAGTTTTTGGCATAGTTGGTATTTACTTAAACACTAATTGAATGGACAAAATTGGGTGTGAGTTTTCCTCTTCCAAAATTGTACCACAATAAAATACAACATTTAATGATGCTTGCATTGATATATATATAAACTTTATAAGATAAATAAGTGAATCTGATGCTGGAAACACAGAGTGGAGGAGCGTGGAGAAAGGGAAGAAACAAGGGGACTTGAACTCTTCTGTGGACGTGTACCAATCCCATACCGCAAATGTAATCATTGTGTACTGCAAACACATACAAATGAAAGTAAAAAAAAAAAAAAGAAATATTAATAATGGATTTTTACATACACTTGTATAGAAGAACTCAGTAGTAAAAACAGTTCATATAATTCTGAATTAATATATTCTTGTCTTTGGTAAAAATTTTTTTAATTACTTGAGCATTTAAATTTTTCACAAAAGTAAAAACAAAATAAAAAACAATAAAAATAATACAGAATTTCAAAACAAGGTGATAGAAAATTAACAATAGTTGTTATAATACATATTGTTATCTTCAAAGTACTTACTCAGATCATCAGACATAGGCATGCAAGATTGATCAAACAATTAAGCTTTAACTGTTCCTTTCAACAAACCAATAGAAATCAGTGGTACAATTACCCCAGCTATCTTTTACTCTGAAGACCATTTCAGGTTTTTTTACCCTTGGGCAGATGTTTAATTATTTTATCCCAGACAGTACCAATTCGAGGCTGAAGCCTTGAAATACATTTTATGGTAATAACAGACTAGCTCAAGACTTTTAGAAAGTACAAATAAAAGTGGGTGAAGCAGTTACTGAAAGTTTTGCAGGCTGCTGCAGGGGCACAGGACCAAGATTCTGTTGTCCAGTCCCCTAACTTCATAGGCACCACCAAGCCAGTTAAAGCTGTGTTGCTATTTCTTTCCATAGCACTGTGCAAAATGTCACCCACGTCTCCCCTGTCTTCCCTTTGCTTACTTGGTTATTCGTTACAGATAGCCATCTATTTTACTTAGGCATATTCTCATCCTCTATCATTGCTCCTTTCCAGATGATCCAAAACATCGCTTCCACTTCCTCACCAGAACTTTGGCCTCCCATCCTTTACCCCTCCATGCAGAAAACCAAACTCTAAGGCTTAGATGCTTGCCTTGTTGTGTCAGTAATTCCTCAACTAACCCCTGTCCTATTCCAGGGCAAATGTATTCAAATGTGATTGTTGCCCTCTTTTAATTTGTTTTCTATACCTTCAACATTCTCCCCACTCAGTTCATTTTACCATGGTACTGACTCATAGCCGTATTTGTTTCCCAACACTTTTTACTGTTTGTATCACATAATATTCAGAGCAAACCTATGAGGTATGAACTGTTCTTACCTTTTAAAAATGAGCAAACAAAGCCAGACTGGTTAAGTATTTTGACCAAGATCACACAGCTAATAAGTGTCAGAACCAAGATTAGAATCTTATTCTGTTTTTAGACATCAAAGTTCTAACCACTATGCTCTATTAACTTGTTTCATATAATTGTTCAGTATTTGTTTACAGTACTTATTTTCTTTCTATTGTATATAATAGAACCAAATGTTAACATTCTATGTAAAAGCTAAAACTATACAATTTCTAGAGGAAAACATATAGAAAAAGCATTGTGCTCTTGAACAGGTAGATATTTCTTAGAATTTTTTTCATAGATTCTTCTTAGATACATTTTTAGATATCTAATCAAGTATACCTTATGACTTCTGATTTTCAAAAGACAATTTTAAGTGAATAAAAAGACAAGCTGTAGACTAGAAGAAACTGTCACACATGTGACTAATAAAGGACATGTATGCAAATAATATTTTACAGTCTAATGAGACAAGTGACAAAATAAAACTGGACAAAAGATTTGAACACATGCTTCACTAAAGACGGCAATGTAAAAAACTAAAAAGATGGTCAAGAATCATTATTTATTAGATAAATACAAATAAAACCACAAGGAAATACCACTGTACACATATAAAGATAGCTAAATTTTTAAAAAGCCACCTTAAATGTTGGTTAAGAGGTGCCACAACTGGAACTCTCATGCACCGATTTATTTGGAATGGTCCCAAACTAGAAACAACCCCAAGTTCCATCAATAGATAATAGAAAAACAAGCGTGGTATGGCCATGCATAGAATATTACTCAGCAATGAAAAGGAAATGAATTACAAAATATAAAAAGCAGGGATGCAACTCAACATAATTATGCTAAGCGTAACAAGCCAGATTTAAGAGTCGACACTGTATGAGTTCACTCACTCTAAATTCTAGGAAATGGAAACCAGTCTACAGTGACATAAGGCCTATCAGTGGCTGCCTGAAAATGGTTGAGGGGAAGGACTGAAGGGTAGATTGCAAAGGAGCGGGGGGTGGTGATGTTCATTGTCTGGGTTGTTGTGATGGCATGTATCTTAACCCTTATCAAATTTAAATTTACAGATTTTACTGTATGTTGGTTACTTTGCGCTTTGATGAAGCTATTAGAGTTAGCATACTAACATTTTATAAAGAGAAGCATTTTGGTTATTTGTTTTGAAGAACTGATTATTCTTATTCATGAAACAATACCCCATTTATTATGAAAGGAAAGTTTGCATAACCTAACTGTGAACAAAACGGGCTCTCAGATCTGTGCAGTAGGCCCATATGCCTCATTTAATTTCCTGGGAGGCTCTGGTTGGAGGGCTTTGTCACACTGGTGCTGGGACACTACTACGCTAGATGTGGCTTCGGTGAGTCTGCGGAGTAAAATGGTCCTGCCTGCTTCCTGTCTTGGGTCTTCTCTTCTCGCCCTTGGTTTCTTCAGTGCCACCACTTCTGCGCGTCTCCTCTCCCCACTCAGTAGTTAGGCGCAAACCTCCAGAGCGAGCTCTGGGGCATCAGCCACGCAAGCTCAGACTGTCCGCACAGGCACCTCTCCGTCTTTCCCGCATCGCACTGGATTCAGTTCTGCTCTGACTCGGAGCTACTTTCAGAGCTCGCAGGCTTTTCCACACCTGCCTGAGAAAGTAGGCTGCTGCACTGACGGCCTGACGTTCTTCCGTGTTGTTCAGGGTGTTTCTGTTACCACAGTGCCGTCTTCATCACAGAGCCAGTCCGGGTAAAGCTGGTACACCCAGGCACAAAATTTGAGGCGCTCTTTTCCAGCTTGCAAAATTGAGTCTCTTAAGCTTTTCTACACAGACATCTCGTCTCCTCACCACACCGGGCCCGCTTGGTAATGGCTTAAACCCATGGCGGGGAGTTGGGTGAGAGAAGAGGGACTTCAGCTTAGATGTTTCTATCCTCTGACAGTTTGTGGACCACCTGATTCTGTGTCTCCAGTCAGCACGGGAGCTAGAGCGGGCCGCACCAACAGCGCGCAGACCACCCGCGTCTGCAACCCCCGGGAGGTTGGGGCGCAAGCAAAGCCCAAACATGAACCACGGTGTCACAGCTCCCTGTGCCCCCGGCCCAGTACCTCACTCCCTGCTGGGCACGCACAGAGAGGGCCCACTCGCGAACCCAGTTGAGAGCAGTTCACGCGCCTTCTGGGTGAGGATCCCCGGTCCGCACCGGGTGCACGGAGGCGGAGACTCAGACTGTAATCAATTTTATTCCTTTTTTTAAAGAACCAACTCTTTGATTCGTTAATTCTTTCATTTTTAAAGTCTCCATTGCATAAATTTCTGCCCTGAGCTTTATAATTTCCTCCCTTTTTTGGGCTTTGGGCTAAACTTTCTCTTCTTTTTCTAGAAGCTTGAGGTGCAGCATATGATGGTTTATTTGTACTCATTCTGTTTTCCTGAGGTGGGAATTCACTGCTATAAATTTCCCTCTCAGGACTGCTTTCATTGCATCCCACAGGTTCCTGTAAGTTGTGTCTACATTTTCATTTGATTGTACAGTGTTTAATTTCTTCTTTGCTTTCATCTGTGACCCACTGATTGTTCAGGAGGGTGTTGGTGAATTTCCATGTGTTTCATTTTTGAAAGATATTTTCACTATACACATATGCTAGTGTCTCCAGAAGATTATATCACCTAGTGACATGGCCATTTTAGTTTGTGAAAGTGCACTCTATGACATTTGCAAAAGAAGAAAATCACTTCATGATACATTTTCAGAATGTATCTTGTTGCTAAACATCACTTGACTGGACAGAGGTATACAGTGCATGAAGAGACTGGTGAGGGGAACTGGCTCACTTGATTACGGAGGCTGAGAAGATCGGGGACAGGCCATCTGCAAGCTGGAGAGCCAGAAAAGTCCTTAGTGTGTTCAGTTCAAGTCTGAAGGCTTCAGAACTAAAAAAGCCCAGGGTGTAACTCAGACTGAGGCTAAAAGCTGGACAGCCAGGAAAGTGATCAGGTGGGGGCAATTCTTGTACAAGTTTTAGAGTCTGAGATGGAGGAACTTGGAGAGCTGACACCCAAGAGCAGTATAAGAAAGATGTTCCGTTGCAGAAAAGAGAGCAGTTGTTTGTCCCCTTTCTGCCTTTTTGTCCCCTCTGACTGCATGGTGCCTACCCACGTTGGGAGTGAACTCAGTGTGGATGGACTCATTGAAGGCGGACTCCACAACTCACACCGATCTCCAGAAACACCCTCCCAGAGACTCCTGTGTGGTGATAGCCCAGTCATTCTAGTCAATGCCAAACCACCTCGCTTTCCTTTCTGAGAAGACAGGGGTTCAGTGTTGATGTAAGCATTAAAAATAATTATTAAAATGGTTGAGAATAAGTAATACTTTACCAGCTGTCTGGGAATCTCTTAATTCAGTCAAGTCTACACCCCAAATCACCCATCACTCGCTGTATGTGTGTGTATACATAGAGAGATAGGTATACCTACTAGACAGATATACCTAGTAAAGTGCCTGCCACACTATTACAGCTGAAATTTAACAAATTTTTCACTAAACTATATCATTTACAACATGGCACACCAATTTTGGTGCTAAAATTGTGCTGGTAATCAATGGAAATTGACACGTTTATGTTTTGTTGCATGTGTTAGGTATCACCTCATCCTAAATAGTTTGGGTGCAATGAAGATTGTTGTCTCTCTTAAAATAAAGTCATAACTTGTTTATTAAGTAAGTATGCTGCAGTTTATTAAATAAGTATGTGTAGGTTTTCTTATGGGGTAAGAAACTTCAGTGACAAATAATGTAGTGAGTTTCTTGAATTAGGTTACTTAATTTATTAATTTATTTGCAGTACTAGGTATTGAACCCAGGACCTTTCCACTGAGCTATATCTCCAGCTCTTTTTATTTTGAGACAGGACCTCCATAAATTGCTAAATCTCCCAGAGAACTGCTCAATCCCCCAGAGAATTGCTCAAATTCTTGATCTGCCTATATCAACCTGCTAGAGTGCTGGGATTACAGGCTTGTGCCCAGCTTCCTGAATTAATTTTAAATGTATTTTTAAAAGAAGATATAAGATTTGCCTTGTATGAAATATTTTATTATGTATTTCCACATCGGTGTCTCCTTTAATCTTTCACGTGGGTAGGTGAGTAGTGATTATTGGTCTAGCTTCACACTTGATGGACTGTATCTCAGTATGGCATTTTCTGATAAAAGTCATGTTCTTATTCCCTCTTATTCTGCTTGTCGTAGTCACCTGCTGGGAATGGCTGAAGCTGGAAGATAATTATCCACGCACAGTGAAGCCAGCCCGAGAACACAGGAGCTCCTCAAAGCACGTCAACAAGCCGTTGTAGCTTGTCAACTGATTGCTGGACAGAAAAGCTGAAAGTAATCAACCTCTCAAGAGTATAAAATAAACACTGTACTGTTCTTGGGCAGTTCTTCACTAGGAGAGAGAGGGCCTCCACCTGACCCCAGCTTTTTGTCTCTTGTCTATTTTTTCATCATTCTCACCGCCATTTCTTCTGAGGGTACAGCAAGAACCCAATGGATCCATACAGTCATCAGTCTCTGGGTTCAAAACTTAGAAACTTAAGTGCATTTAGGTTACATCACTGGATTTTATTTATGTCTCTTAGGAGAAAACAGAACTTTAAAAATACTGTACATTCTTCATAATCCAATGCCATAGACAGATTTATTTGTTTTTTTCTCTTTCTTTCTTTCTTTCTTTCTTTCTTTCTTTCTTTCTTTCTTTCTTTCTGACAGCATCTCACTATGTAATTCAAGCTGGCCTTGAACTCACTATGTAGACCAGGTTGACCTTGGATTTATGGTGATCCTCTTGCCTCAGCCTCCCAAGTGCTGGGATTACAGGCATGTGCTGCATAGCTGACCACATTTTTCTTACTTTGCTATGAATGCATTTTCATTTTAGTGAAAATTAATATATAAGATATGTATATGAATCACAACAGGTAGATTTGAAAATTCTTCCTGAAACAGTATTTTAAAAAACAAATTAGGGGCTGGGGATATAGCTCAGTGGCATAAGCGCCTGCCTGGGAAGTGCGAGGTCGTGAGTTTGATCCTTGGTACTGAAAAAAAAAAATTATCATTACTTTTATCTTACTGTCTTTTATTGTACTCTAATTTTTAAATCTTATAAAATACATATGGCATATATTCTCTATTAAACTCACTGACAAGTAAAAAGCTTTCAGAGATATTAAAAAACTGTGAGAATTTTTAAAGCCATGCATGATCTTTGATGTATGCCAGGAGAGATTTTTAAGTCTTGATTTAGCAAGAAAAACATTTGAAAGGTTGAAGCACTAAGAGAGCACAAAAACAACAGGTTACTCCCAGACGTATGATCTCTGAGTAGTGGCCTTTTCTCAGAGCCTCAGTTTTTCTTCCCACTTGGAATAAGGTCAGGAAGATGTGTCTTCTGTTTCCGTGTGTTAGAGAGACTTGCAAACAGAGAACTGGCTGTGGGAATACGGGAGACCAAGAAACCATGAGTGATGTCATGATCAAAGTGAGGCCACAACTGCCACGAGGTGGGTCCAGGCAGTGCGCGGTCACCGAGTGAACCAAGCTTCTTAGGCTGCTGTCACAAAGTACCCTGGAGCTGGCGGCTTAAAACAACAGAACTTCATTGTCCCCCAGTTCTGGAGGCCAGAAGTCCAAAAGCAAGGTTTTGGGAGTCCACATTCTCTCTGGAGACTTGAAGTCTAGAGAAGATCCTTCCTTCCTCTTCCTACCTACTGATGCCTCCTGGCAAGCCTTCACATTTCTTGGCTTATAGATGCATTAGTTTAATCTCTGTATCTGTCTTCATGTGACTTTCTTCTCTGTGTCTCTGTGTCCAAATTTTTCTTGTCTCCTAAGAACCCCATTCATTGGGTGAGCACCCCCAATCCAGTGTGATTTCCTTTTAACATTATTACATTTGCAAAGCTCCTATTTTCAAATAAGTTCACATTCACTGATACTAAGGGTTAAGACATCAGCATGTCTTTAGGGAGCATAATGCAGCCTGTAACATTGATAGAATGGGATGAAGATGTAGACAGTTTGCTTCTAGGTGGCCATAGGGGAGCCCTGGATACTCAAAGGCTGGTCACCAAACCAGCAACATCGCGCATTATTGGGCTCTAGTTAAATATGCAGGCTTAGCTGGGTATGGCAGTGCATGCTTGTAATCCCAGCACTCTAAGAGGCTGAGGCAGGGGGCTCACAAGGTTGAGCCCAGCGTAGGCAACTTATCGGCCTAGCAAGACCCTGTCTCAAAATAGAATAAATAAAAAGAATAGGGGTTGGGCCTCAGTTCAAAAGCCCTGGGTTCAATTCCCATATCATGAAAAAAAAAAAAAAATTGCAAGCTTTCAGTCTTCACTCCAGATATACTGAATCAGAACTTGTATATGAAAGGGACTCTAAGTGATTTAGTACACATTAAAGTGAAAGAAATACCTTTTTAGAACAGTAGTTCTCAAGATTTGGGCCTCAGCTGGATCGGCTTCACCTATGAACTTGCTAGATAAGCAGTCATGGGTTCCACCTGGTCTCCTGACCCAGAACCTCTGGGGATGGGACCCGGAAAACTGATTTAACCAGCTCCCCAAGTGCTTCTTGTGCATTTAATTTCTGAGAAGCACTGACTTAGAGAAAAGGCTTCAGAGCTGTCGTCGCCGGCATTAGAAGGAACAAATTGCCTTCCCTATCATGACCGCCTTTCCTGGTGAGCTGAGTGAGCCAAGAGAGACCCTGTGTTTTATGGTCTTGTTTTAATTGTCTAGTTGCACTCTTGTGGGCATGGATCAGATAATTAAAGGCATTAGGGCATGTGCTGCTTCAGGGACTCCCATGAACGGGTGACTCAGCCATGGAATAGACCATGGGAAGCTCTGCCAGGATCAGGATAGCGCCTGTACCTCTGCCAGTTTTGTTTTACGTATGTCCAACAAATGAACAGAATGTCTTCCACATAATCTTTTCCTACATTCAGAATGTTTTGCCCTGGTTGTTTCTGAGTTCTGGGGTCTTGCCTGTAATTCTTTGTCTCCTTTTTGAATCCCATTCTTCTGGGCATTCAAACTTCTGATTCCACCACTCTCACCTGCCAAATTGCTCTTTTATCCTCTTAAATATCAGATAAACTGATGCTTTTAGACCACAGCTATGGGTTTTCATTTTTGAGGTCCCATGAGGCCAATTTACGAGGTACACATCAGACGGGAAAAACAGCTTTTGAACGGTATAAAGGCTACCCTGGGTCCTAATAAATAGCAAAGTTGGGGGTAACTCTCTCTAGCCATAGCAGGGAAGTAAACAGCCATCCTGGCAGCTTTTGAGGAGTTAACAAGAGTCAATTGAAGCACCTCTTGGATGATTGATAGATTTACTTTTAGATTCAAATTTAAATTTTTGCCTGACATGCCTAAAACATTTCTTGTGCATTGAGATAGTTCTTAAACTATAATTACTAGCTAAGAAAAGGATGCTACTCAAGGCCACTTGAAAGTCTGTTGGTTAGCTGATCCTAATTAGCATATAGCATCTATAAACTCACTTTGAGACCAAAGAAAAGGAATAGAGTACCAGGGACATTTTAAAATCCAAGTGGCGGCTAGGATTAATGAGACAGCACTTAGGATTCTATTGGGCAGAAAAGACAGTAAGGATCATCAAAATGGAGATGAGAAGCCCAAAATGGAGTCTGCTGAGTCACTACCTTCCAGGAATCTTACAAACACACCCACCAGGTGTCCTTCAGCTGTCTCGGACTCCACCAGAGTGTGACCAGGCAGGCCATTGGCTCACGGGCACATGAGCACTGTATTCATAGATTAGAGCCTAAAAATTATGTAAGCTCCTAGAGGATAGAGATTATATTGTTTACACAGTGGCTTGAGCTCCCATCTAAACACCTTTACATTTCCTAGCCAAAGAGCCTTCCTGGGGATCCCTAGGACCCTCTCCTGGCTAGTACGATCTCTACTTCCTTGCCTCCATATTTTTTACTTTCCTGCCTTTATATCTTTTAAGTACATTTTCTTGCACCCTACCTCTTTCATCTATGATTTCATTCCTCGTCACTGTGGGATACAACCTCAGAATTGTGGTTACACTATTAGGGGAAGACAAGCAATAAATAAATAAATACAATTCATCATTTGTCAAATGGTGATAATTAGGAAAGCAGGAGAGACAGTATTGGATGTAAAGTGGAATGATATGACTGAAAGGTGCACTCTAGGCTAACTAAATCAGTAAACATAGTTTTTATGGGTGTTGTGTTTTATGTGAAGAGTGGAACACATAGCTTGAGGAAGCTGCCTTCTCCCATGTCCTCCCGGCACACAAGAATCCTGGGGAATACAGAATTGGACTGTTTCGTATGATAGCCACCAGCCACATGAACTACTAAATTTTAAATTAAATGAAATTTCAAAATTAATTCCTCAGTCACAGTGCATTTCAAGAGTTTAAAATTGCCCACTATATGAGACAAAAAGAGAATATTTCAATTGTTGCAGAAAATCTTATTGGACAGAAATGCTCTTGAATAATGTGGGCAGTGTCTTATATGGGGGATGTCCGTGTTCAGTATGTGAGGGTTGATGTGCTAGGTACATGTACTAATCATTGAAGAAGTATGCAGGACTAGGATGTAGTGAGACACAGTAATAGAAAAGTAGCACCATTTCAGAATTATTGCCTTGTTTTCTAAAAAGAATACTGTACATTCTTTAAATATGATGCTAGTACATTAAATTTGAATCTCACAATAATGTACATGCACAATTGTAAATAACTGGTTTTGTGGGCAAAACTAAGCTCATACTTTGTTCATTTGTCATAATTTCGGGTTTTTGCTAGGGGAACAATACAGGACACACATTTTATAAGATATTTATGATAGTCACCCAAAGAATCATATACAAAAACGGAGTGCAGGAAATCTGTCCACACACTAAAGACCAAAGGATCCAGCTGAGGGCCTGGATCCCACCGAAATGTCCTGCATGAGTCCAGCTGAAGACCTAGACTTCATAACAGTGCCTCCCATGTGTCCAACTGAAAGCCTAGAGCCCATGACAATGTCTCATGCAGGCCTGTTTCACAGATCAGCACAAGGAAGGCCCAAAGGTCAGTGGTGGAATCTAGGAAGTCTGTGCCAGCAGGATGAAGGATCTGTGCTAGCAGGCTGAGAGATCCGCACTGCAGCCAGGAAGCAATGCTCAAAATAAGAGCCAGAGCTCCCCCAAAAGTACCACAGCCATCCTCAGCAACAGTGAGGTCCTGAGCTCCTCCAATGATCAGGACAGCTGAGTTCCAATCAGGAAGGCCAACATGACAAGCTTCTCCAGGAGACTGAGCAGTGCACCATCTTCCCGTCTGGAGCCAGGAAGCGATGCTCAAAGTGAGGACCAGAGCTCCCCAAAAGTGAAGCGAAGCCATTCTCAGCTACAAGGTCCCAAGCTCCTCAGAGAATGAGAACAGCTGAGTTCATCAGGAAAGCCAGCATGACAAGCTCCTCCAAGAGAATCAACTCTCCTTATAGCTTCTAACAGCACCCAACAGTTTCTACCAGCTCCCAACTGCCTCTCTCAGCTCCCAACCTCCTCTCTCAGCTCCCAACAGCCTCCCTTCTTCTTTTCCTGTTTTACCTCTTATGCTGCTGGCAACAATCTTCAGGTGGGCCTCCCACACCCAGCACCCCTCGCTGGTTCAGTTCAGCT